CAGGCTGAACAAGCCCAGCTCCCTCAGCCTCTCCTCGTAGGAGAGATGCTCCAGTCCCCTCATCATCCTCGTAGCCCTCCTCTGGACTCTCTCCAGTAGCTCCTCATCTTTCTTGAACTGGGGAGCGCAGCACTGGACACAGCACTGCAGATGGGGCCTCACTAGGGCATAGGAGAGGGGGAAGTAACCAGTAAAGGCCAAGTCCCAGGGAGGGGGCAAAAAAAATCTGTGAGGTATGGAGGACTAAGAATAGTTAAACATGACATAAAGCGGTAAAGCAAGAAAGCGCCAGGCAGAAGCCTCCCAACCATCTGCTTTAGAAGCACCACACGGTAGAAAAGCAGCTGTTTCTCAGAGGTCTCCTGCATCAGGTTTCTGTTCCAGCAGCCCTCCGTGGCCAAGTTCCAAATAAGCGGATGAACGCCGGTGCAGCCAAAGGCTGGCGTGCTGTCAGGCTCACAGCGTGGCCCTGTGTGCTCCTCGCCGTGAAGAGCTTGCCCAGAGAAAAGCCTGCTTTAGCAGGCCCACTCGCACTAGTATCAAAGTGGTGCTGAGCAATAACCCCGCAGTTCCAGTTCTCCTCGGTGCGTTCAGAGGCTCCTTCTTCAAATTTTATTTTAGTGACTGAATACAGGGTCAGGGATTAAGACACTTTTGTGTGAAAAGCATGTTCGAACAGTTCATTTCATTTTGCAACATGATCTTAAGCGTACCTTGGAAAATTAAAACGAGAAAAGAGTTTATTGCAAGAAGTAAGAAATTACATGAAAATGTTTACTTCTCAAACTCTTGAAAAAAGATAGCTGACAACAGCAGCTGTTTAAGACTTGGTTCATAATTTTGTGAAAAAACCCTGTCTGACTCCCTCCCTTCCTCTTAGAATACGGTCTGCAAGGTGGCTTGGGTGATGAGCAGAGTGGCCTGCTGCTGGGATCTCTGTAGAACCTGGTAACCATCTCTCCTTTCAAACCTGCTAACTTCAAAGGGAAAAACTGAATGGTGTCCTGAATTTGAAAAAATGTATTTTGGCATTCAGAAGCATTAAGATGCATCCAGAAGAAACCTCACGCTAGAAATGGAACTTCAGAGGCTGGTACCTGTTGGTGGTGGTCTCCTCAGCCGAGGAGCATGTTTGTGCCGGTTTGCATAGGCAGCTTTCCTGTGGTTTTAGCTCTTTTATTTATTCTCTGATTTTGCAAATTAATTTATTTCAAGAAAAATATCTGGTAAGTTACATAAAATCAAGGACAAATCAAGCTCCACGTGATTCACCCCTATATACTGCGTCTGTTTTACTATGTGAAGAGACAGCAGTGATCTCGGATAAAGTAGTGTGTTGGGTTTTTTTTTGACAAAAATGCCCTTTTATGTGTGTCTGTACAGAATTTTATGGTACTTTATTACCGCTCTTTCCAAGCAAGACAAACCATTCAGCAGACTGTGGTGGGATGGGATGGGATGGGGCAGAGCCTTCCCGAAAGGAAGCGAGGGGTTACTTACCTGCGCTCGGGCATTATTAAAACAACGCTGGTCCTACAGCCTTTTAATTTTGGTGTGGGGCACCTCTAGAACAGAGCTGTGGAGACTCTTCTGGGGTGCAGTGTCACCTTTCTTCCTCTGAGGTGAGTATACTGCAAGTAGGAAGACAACGAGGTCACTACAGGAATGAGATCTTCAGCTCCTTTTTTGCTGGTGCCTTCTATGGGAAGAACTCCCAACAAAATCAAACCTTGGAAGGACCGGGTATTTCTCTAAAATCAGTTTTTGCGTGCTGTTGTAATAAAGGTCAGCAAAATGGCACTTAGGGCTAAAGTGACGGAGTTTCAATGTTTTAACAGTCCTTCACATTCAGATGGCTTAACGTTGGCAGGTATTCTCGAAATCCCGATATGCTATCACAAAATAAGTATTTGAATGCAAAGTTGTAAGTCAAGTGTTCCGAACATCACATCTGAAAATACAACTGGAAGGTGGCGCGGAAGTCGGTGGCAACAGTTTTGCTGAAAGCTTCACGTCTGCAGATTTCAAAGTGACTTTTTAACGTCGTACCGCTAGATTTCAGAACTGGATGTCTCAGGATATCCGAGGAAGGATTTCATCCCATATAAAAGCCACGAGTATTGTCCCTGAAAAGAGAAATTACAGAAAGGGCCTTTACTTAAATCCGTTTGAGAAGGACGCAGTGGAGTGTCTAACACACAATACTGCAGAAACATGGAATTTTCCGTCCAAAGGGCAGTCAGTACTTCTTGCCAAACACAATCTTTTTCACAAAGCAAGCTTCAACAGACCACGCAAGTGATCCTTACGAGTTAATAATCTTGTTCTTCGTACAGTTAATGTTTTAATTCTGATCTGTACAAGCCAAGCCAGAGGCAGAGCAGTGAATCCAACACGTGCACCCTCCTCTTGCTGTATCAGTTCTCTTCTCTTTGGAGCTGGACGTATAAATGACTGACCCAGCAGCTCAACCTCCGTTCCTCAGCCGACAGGATAAGGCTGAGTTTGCCAGCAGCAACTGCTGTGATAACCACATCGGTTTTAGGTGCTGCAAGCAGGTATAGGATGGTGAGGTTTGTTTTTTGTTTCGAAGATCTATCTAGTTTAGGGTTTATTTTGCAGCAGAAAATTAGTGAAGTTAGAAAGTGTTAGAATGTACCCTCAGCAATTGCTGACGACACAAAACTGGGAGGAGTGGTGGCTACACCAGCAGGCTGTGCTGCCATTCAGCGTGACCTGGACAGGCTGGAAAGTTGGGCAGAGAGGAACCTGATGAGGTTCAACAAGGACAAGTGCAGGGTCCTGCATCTGGGGAGGAACAACCCATGCACCAGTACACGCTGGGGCTAACCTGCTGGAGAGCAGCTCTGTGGAGAGGGACCTGGGAGTGCTGGTGGACAACAGTTTGAACATGAGCCAGCAGTGTGCCCTGGTTGCCAAGAAAGCCAATGGGATCCTGGGGTGCATTAGGAGGAGTGTGGCCAGCAGGGCGAGGAAGGTTCTCCTTCCCCTCTGCACTGCCCTAGTGAGACCCCATCTGCAGTACTGTGTCCAGTTCTGGGCTCCCCAGTTCAAAAAAGATGAGGAGCTACTGGAGAGAGTCCAGCGGAGGGCTATGAAGAAGAGAAGGCTGAGAGGGGACCTTATAAATGCCTACAAATATCTGAAGGGTGGGTGTCAGGAGGATGGGGCCAAGCTCTTTTCAGTGGTGCCCAGCGACAGGACAAGGGGCAATGGGCACAAACTGAAGCAGAGGAAGTTCCGTCTGAACATGCAGAAGAACTTCTTCCCTCTGAGGATGACAGAGCCCTGGACCAGGCTGCCCAGGGAGGTTGTGGAGTCTCCTCTGGAGATATTCAAGACCCTCCTGGACAAGGTCCTGCACAGCCTGCTCTGGGTGACCCTGCTTCGGCAGGGGGGCTGGATAGATGACCCACAGAGGTCCTTTCCAACCCCTACCATTCTGTGATTCTGTGAACTTCTCATAAATGATGGACAGTGGTAACATCTGCTGACTCCGCCTGCATTTTTAGGTGAACTGCAGTAGAGCCAATGGCTTTGCATTCATTAAGCTTCTCGATGCTGTTCCTACTCTGTTGCTCCCTCACTAGTTACTGCCCCCTTTCCAAAACCTTACTGTTTTATATAGAGGTTTGGGAGCAAATTTTTCTCGGGAAGACTGAAGGGGAAAAAAAGCAAGACTTGGAGTACCTCAGCCTTTTCCATGTCATCCATCATGAGGCTGTCTCCCCCATCCGCCAATGGACCTGCATTTTCTCTCCACTTTTTTTGTGATTATTCTGTTTCTAACTCTGTATGTCCCTAGTCTTAGTTCCAGCTGAGCTTTGACCATCCTGATTTTGTTCCCAAGTGCCTGTGCAAAGCTTTTATACCCCCCCTTTGCTGCCTATCCCAATTTCTACTTCTTACATGGTCTCCTTTGTCCTTGTCTAGCCAGCGGGGCAAGGCTTTCTGTCAAAATTCCCAGTCTAACTACCTGACAGATTGTTCCTGCCCATCAAAATGTGTTACTGAGCTCTCCGTAAGCTTTTTTGAAAAATCACCTTTCCATGGGATGCTTGTCCCATTTGTGGCAGTTTCCGAGGGAATTACTACTGACATAGCAACTCGCTAAATAAGCAGAATTTTGCTCTCCTGAAGTCCAAAGTCCGAACAGCTCTGCTGTTTACCTTCCCAGTCCTCCTCTGGACCCTGAACTGTTGTGAGGACTGCAGCCCAAGTGGCCACATTCACCCCCAGTTCTTCCCTGGTTGTGAGCAGGTCAAGTACAGGATTACCACTCACTGGCCCTTTAGTACTGGAATTAGACTTCATTAGTGACAGTTTTGTAGGAACTTCTCGGATTGCATTTGCTCACCGCATAAGGGTTTTGCTCTGTCAAACGATGTCTGCATAGTTGAAAACCCCTAGGAGGACCAGGGTCTGGAAGCGGGAGACTTCTCCTAGTTGTCTGTCGAAACCCTCCTTTGCTATGAAGTCCCTGAGATGCTGATCACTTCACTGCATGTGGACTTGAAATTCCCGGTTGTTTGCTAAGCTCCATGCTGAAGTGTACTGAACTTGGTGGAAACCTCTGAATACCTTCTCCTATGAGCAGAAAGGCGAAAGTTTGACCTGTAGCCTTCTCCCTTGCTTACCTCCTCCATTTACGTCTACTGCTAAATGACTTTTGTGGCACTGCTTTTCTATCCTGATGATGAAAAACCATTCTCTTCTAAGGAACAGTATTAGTCTTTCTGGTGAAACTGATCTAAAGAACTGGGCACCGATTCTGTTTTTAAAGCGTTAGAAACCTAACAGAATGCTAAGCTGGCACGTGCCCAGGAAAGGGCATCCGATTCTACTGCCCTCACGTCCAGTATCTTGCCAACCAGCTCTTCCATTCATAGCTGCCACCTCCCTGGTAGTGAAAAGGAAGCGTCAGCTCAGTGCCCAGCATTACTAATGGTACAATCATGCCTGGACAATGAACATGAATTCCCTTGGCAGTAAAACAGAACCTCTCTTTGTTCCACTGCTACTTACCGCCTCTATGTTCGCAGTGCAGAATTTAGGCCTGCCTATGCTAAGTCTTAAACACTTGCTGACATCTATGTTTACTACTGGAATCAGCTGGTTTAATGCGACTGCAGAATCACCTGCACCGAAAGGTCAGTGAGGCCATTTTGAAAAATGAGTTCTTAACTACAGTTCCAAGATTATATTCATGAAAGACCATAAATGACCAGAAGATTTGCTTATCCTAATGGAAAACTTCCACTTCCTCCTCCTCCAGTGAAGGTGATAATCCATCTTCCTCTTGTTCTTAGTGTCTTTTCTAAGAAAATTGTTTTAAAGTTGACAGTAAGAACTGGCTTACGGCTAGATTAGGATATGCGTTATATACTGAATGGTCTGGGTCTCCTTGTCCTCAAGGGTATTTGCTGTGCCCATAAATGAGATCATATTGCACTCTGCACAGGCAATTTGAAGTTCCATGGTATGCTAGTCCATGGCTCTGTGTATGGTAGCTATTACAGCAAATCACAAAAAAACCCCACGATTAATGGACTCCTAAAAGAATTCTACAAAGTAAGAACAAAGTCATTTAACCATCTAAGATGCTGATGCTGGGAAAAGTGAGACATCAAATTAGCATATCATTATGACTCTGCCGGTTGCTAGGAAGTCTGGCACAATACTTCTGCTGACACACTGATTCTGAACGTAATTTTTATAATTAAATTTAAAATAACCCTTCCCTCATCATCTGCTTTTATAATTCTGCTTAGAGGTTCTTCTCATAAAAATTTTATTATCATCACAACAGGTCATTCTCCTAGATGCTTCATCATTTGGTCCAATTTTGGAAGAAAAAACTCTATTCCTGTTATTTTCTTATTTTCAAATTTGTTTACAACTCTTGGTTTATAAGAGAAAGTCTATCTGTATCCATGGAGCTGCCTTGTTTTCTAATGAGATATTTACATCACCAATAGACTACTCGGCCCTTCAGGTGATCCACAGACCTGAGATCTGTAACAAAATGTTTGGCTACAGTAGTGACACTGCACAAGAAGCAATGTGTCCTGAGTATTCACACCTTTACAACTGCTTGATCTGGAATTTCTTTCCCTCTTAAACTGAGAGACAGCATTCAATATATTCTGTATGTGTTTTCTATATGTTAACTAACAATAAACTGCTGTTTATGAATTTTCACAGAAATATAACATTACTCCCTAATTACATTCTAAATTCCTCAAGTCATGGTTCCATTTGTTGTAACAGCAGCTGATTTTCTTACTTCAGCTGAATAACCTGAAGGCTTTCTGCAAAGCAGTTCTGCAGGATGCATCTTGCTAAATAAGTAAGACGTGGTGGTTCAGAATCCCTCCTGTTTCTTTAGAACATTTGCCAAAATGTTAAATCCCAAGTACTTACAGCCTGGAAAATCTAGAAATGGTTATTGGGTTGAAATCAGTTAATATACCAGAAAACTAAACTTGAATTCTGAGAAATATCAGTGATATTTCATCAGCTTTGCCTAAGACATTTCATTAGCTACTAACTGGAACAGTGCATAGGCTTTTATCAAGCTTGCTCTACTGTTCAGTCATCCTGTCTGGGTATCTAATTTTAAAAAATTGTATTAAAGTGAATTTTAGACTAAAAATTCTGTCTCCATATTTGACTGACTGTTGTGGATTAACCCAGCAGCTGTCAACTGAGCACCAGACAGCCGCTTGCTCACCCCTCCCTTTCCCCCCCAGCGGGATGGGCAGGAGAATGAATAAAAGGGGAAACTTGTGAGTTGAGATAAAGGCAGTTTAATAAGGCAACAAAGGAAATACTACTGCTACTACTACTACTAATAATAATGAATATGCAAAACAAGCTATACACAACACAATTTTTCTCACCACCTGATGACCGATTCACAGCCAGTCCCTGAGCAATGATCACAGAACTTGTGGATTTCACAGAACTCCCCCAAAAAAAGACCCAACTCCTGGAAAAGTTGGAACTCACAGAAAAAAAGAGGATTCCTGCCCCCCGGCCAACCCCCATTTATAAACTGAGCATGACTTCCATGGTATGGAATATTTCCCTTGGCCAGCTTGGGCTAGCTGCCCAGCTATGCTTCCCTCCAGCTCCTGCACACCTGCTCATTAGCTGAATACGGGAAACTGGAAAAAGTCCTTGATTTCTTAGCAACAACTGAAAACATCAGAGTTATCAACATTCTTCTGGTACTAAATCCAAAACACAGCAGCTACTGGGTAGGAAAATGAACTCTATCCCAGCTGAAACCAGGAGGCTGACTGAGAGTCAATGCAAGTAGAGCATGCACAGACACGAACTCAAACAAGAAAATGAAGTTATTTGTTCTAACTGGAGCCCGTTGAGGTGCTTCCTGTGTGTGTTTCACATGCTGTTGTACCTGCAGCACTGTTGTACCTTCTAATAGGATTAACAGTCATGAAAGAACTTGGGATTAGCAGACTGCTGCTTTATATACCCTCTAATCAGAATTATAGGGACTAGTTGTAAACAATCAACAGCATGAAGTATTACATGGAGCATTTTCACCTGCACACAATTAGAAATTAAAATCAGTAGCTTCCAAATTAAAGTGATAATTTAAATTAGAAAAAATCCAGTTACTAATATTCCTTATTCTTAAACTAAGAATAGATTGTTTCCAACAGCGACTGGGGGAAAAACATAAGAGTGGGAACTGCAAAGTTCAGACATTATGGAGATAAAAAAGATTCGATATTGTAATAGTAGTCATTCAGAAAGCGTATTTTAAGCACTTGTCCTAATACCTGTGGGTTTGTATTTTTTTTAATTAATCATCCCCATGTTCTTGTATCCTGTCAAAAGAGCGAGACAGAAACTGCATGCCAACCAGTATGTTTCTCTTTTTGAACTTTATCAGGGTAATATATACTTTCAGGTAGCCTCTACTCCTTTTTAATATTCTGCCAGAATCTACCAGCGGGGCCTTGGCCAGCGTGAGAATTTGCAGCATCCCTCAACCAGGCTGGATTTTAATACTAAGGCATAAAGTCCCCAACAACAGGCAGCTTCGAAAGGATCACGCTCCAGAGTTAACAGCTGTCGGTTTATAACTTGTTAACCCTAACCTGAACACTAACCTTTTTCCATTTAGAACTGTACTGTTGTGGTTTTTGGTTGGTATATTTTCTTGCTCAGTGCATCCCAAAACTACTTAGACTCTGAATGTGACATCTAAACAGTTATATAACCTAACATGGTTGTTTCTTAAAAAAATCTGATCGAAACAGTAGATATTATTTTGTGAATAAAACTGGTGTTTAAAACTCAGTATTAGATGCTTAGTTCACAAAACAGGGTGTTGCAGGAGCTCTACACAGAGCAGTAAACAAGACTGAAATACACAGCCTACATTTGCAAAACGGAACCATGCTTCTGAATAACTTCTACACATAAGTTACAACTGACTATTTTCTGGATTTCATTTAAAGCAGAAAACAAACAGACTATCACATAAAGAATACCTATTATTTTCTGATTTTTGAACCATGTACTAAATAACAGTTTGTTACATAAAGTATTAAGCACTTACCTAAGGATGGTGCTATCCAATATACTAGTGAGTAACTCAGAAATTTGTCATAGAAACAATCTGCGTGTAATGAAAAAGCCAATGCTGGGTTAAATATTGCTCCTGTGAGATTTCCACCTGCAATAAAATGTAAACAATATGAAATCAAACCATCTGTCTTAATATTTATTTTAAATTAATCTTGAAATGCACATAGACAATACTACAAGAAATGTACACCCTACAACAAAATGAAGCGTCAGAAACCATTTGAACAGATAAACTCTTCTTTAGTTATTTACCCAATGGGTTCAACAGTTTAACTGTTTCCTAACATGCTTTAAAATACCTGAAGCATGGGCTAGAACTTCCTTCATCTCTTTCTAGCAAATGTTCTTTGAAGAGCTGGGTTTGGCTAATGTCAAATGTTTCTATTGATAAAACTATACTCTGTTTTACTAATAGTCTGTGTCATGCTTTCAGAAGAGACAGACATTACACAAATATTAGTAAGTAAATACTGAGCCTTCATTACATCCCACTGTTGCATCTAACACACATGCAGGTAATGGAAAAAACTGTCAAGTGTTGTTCTTGCTAAGTTGACCTCTACATCTTCTTATTATAACACTAATTTTATCCTATCAATTTATAGAACATTATCATAGAATCATAGAAAGTTTTGGGTTGGAAGGGACCCCTAGAGGTCATCTAGTCCAACCCCCCCGCAGCGAGCAGGGACACCGCTAACTAGATCAGGTTGCTCAGAGCCCTGTCCAACCTGGTCTTGAATGTTTCCAGGGATGGGGCCTCCACTACCTCTCTGGGCAACCTGTTCCAGTGTTTCACAACCCTCATTGTAAAGAATTTCTTCCTTATATCCAGCCTAAACCTACCCTGTTTTAGTTTAAAACCATTACCCCTCGTCCTGTCACTGCTGTCTCTACTAAAAACATTGTCCCCATCTTTCCTATAGGCTCCCTTTAAGTACTGAAAGGCTGCAATCAGGTCTCCCCGCAGCCTTCTCTTCTCCAGGCTGAACAAGCCCAACTCCCTCAGCCTGTCCTCATCGCCATCATATGGCGATAACTGTGGGAAAAGCCTTCACAATCATTCTGTATGTTGCTTGAAGAAAACAAAAGTAAACGCTACTCCACTCTCTTGAAAAAGGAAGCTTACAGAAGCCAAGCATCTTTCCTTGCCTCTGACTTCAGATGTAAATGAAGTTGCCTGAACACTCTCTAAATAACAACATCCGAACACATTACATTGTGGAGACTAAACTGTCATCACAGTGCAGATGAACCTGGTGGTGTTTTTATTTCTGACACGTCGTTCCTCTCATTGCAATCCTGTAGAAAAAAACATTACTCATAAGCAAAATTATCTGTATTTCTGTACTATTAGTTACTAACCACCCCGTATCTGTTTTATCTATTAATCTACTCACATAAAATATTATATAAATGTCTCTGTCTAGTTTCTAAAAGCTTATTTTCTATTTGTCCCAAATAAGCCAGTATGAGCTTTGAACTTTGCCTTTGTACAAATACCATGCTGCTCTAATCCTCATTTGTTATGAGCATTTACCGAAAGTTTTAGGAGGCTCTTTGTCATTCTCCTGTATTTCTCTTTCTATGTACTCACCATTTCTTTTACCGTTATTAGAGTTCAGGAACGTTTTAATCTTTGTTGACCTACTCAGTTTACTCTGGTTTTACACTTGTTCTCAACAGCAACTCAGATTTACTGTGCAGTCTGTGACTCTGCACACTGACACACTAACAACTTCCACTGTCGCCAGGAAGGCTATCTACAGTAATTTACTTTTCTTTAACCTAGTTACAAATTCACTGCTTCTGCTTTCATATCCACAAACATACATTCAGGAGTAGAATTTAACTCTCAGGAGGCAGTTGCTGTTTCTGAACATTAAATATTACACAGAGTTTTAACTGCTGTATTTCTTCAATATTCTTTACTGCTGGAATATCAACCATAGGCCAGGGCCACCACTATAATCTTAATTAAAAATATTTTTTAAACATCTCAGTCTGTGTACCAGAAAAGGTAAGTGACATTATGCCAAAAGAAGTGTGACATCTTTCTGTTGTGCACATAAAAACTTAAAAAGGGGAAGAAGTAATGTGTGCTCCACACAACGCGCGAGAAAGTCATTTTAACTTTTGAAGTTACTAAAGGCAAAATCACAATTAGGAAGAAACCAAGAACTACAAATACGTATGTTATTTTCAACTTGATACGTTAGGCTCGGAAACATCTAACCAATATCATACAATTCTGACTTCATTGTAATATTGCCGTAAATGAAAAAGCCCTCCAAAAGTGTATTCTTTTCTTCCCCTAATAAAACGTTTTCCCAAAGGAAATATCAAAAAATATTCTTTACCAACTTGCATATGGTCTGCATCCTTAGCTTCTGAATCATCCCCTTAATATGCAAAGATATAACATTTTCTTTTCCTTCTGTTCAGTAGAAGAAACAGCGAATGCAATATTGGAGCTTATTGTACAGTATGCATCATTATAAAACTATGGTCTGTGTAATTCTACATGTTAAAAAAAAATCCAAATATTTTTAACTATGAAAAAGTAGAAGAAAAACTAAAGGGACAGCTTGTAATTTTGAAAATACTTAGTGTATAATCTGATGTTATTTGTTGCAGTAAGTTGCATGGCATACCTACATACCTTTTATGGGGTGCACACAACAGTGACTTGTTAGCATTTATTTAAACTTTATCAACCATGTAAATACAATTTAATGTTTTTGAGCCTTGTCTGTGTATCAATACTTTTAGATGGGTGTAAGCCACACGAATATGGCTATCTTTCAAAATTCTACCCAAACCAAATTTGATCTGGAGATATTCCTTCTTACAGTTTTTTAGACTACAATTATACCTCTTATAGGATACAGCTTTCAAACATATAGTGGAACATAATTCACAGTATGAAATATGACACACTATGTACGAGGTGTATTTTCTAACATTTCTGGTTCATTCATAACTGTAACAAACCTGGATCCTGAAGGCACAATTGATTTGGTTTTTAAAATTGAGTGTAAAAAGAAATCATTAGCATGAATTTTAAGTTGTGAATTTAATGCACTTTTCTGAGTTCCTGGCTAGATCACTGTATCTATCAAATTACGGTTTGAAAAATGATTATTCATACAATATTCTATTTGCTGTTTTTGTAAGGAAAAAGAAGAATGTTACCAGTTTGCCTGAATTAGCATTGCTTTGCCTAAATTTGCACTGGTTGCCTAGCCCTTTGGTGCTGGGTGAGCAAGAAAGATCCATTCCTCTTAAACAAGCACTCAAGTTCCTTATAAACAGGTAACGAAGAGGTGCAGAAGATTTCCTGAGAATGATCCAGCCCAGCTAAGTTGAGCATCCGCCTGTCTTCAAAGCCTGAAGAGGAGAAGTTGGCCTGCTGGAGGCCGCTAGCCGTAACACCCAGTTTGGAAGTCACTCTTCTGACTGCCTGTACGAAGCACCGTTTCTCAAATTGGAGGTGGAAAGGACACGGCTGGGGCTATGCCACCAGACCCACAGGATACATGGTCGGTCATATATACGTGCCAGACACATGTTGTGGTGGCCCACCAGACCCTTCACTACGGTCCCAGCTACTTGGCATGGAGTCAGGAGGCTGTGGGAAGGGGGTCCTGATCAGCAGCCCTCAAAATGGAAGGGGCAGGAGAACGGAGAACATCCTGGGGAACGTTTGCGTGTAGATTGGGACAGAGGGAAAAAGGCAGCAAGAAAGGTTGGAGAACATCTGATGTGTCCTACATGCACCTACCTAACCTTCCACTGAAAAAGAGATCTGTTACAGTGCAAGCCCGTGATTTCGTCACAGAAAGAAATTAATGGCAGCAGCTTGCTCCCGCACTTGTTGTACAATAGCTCAGTGATAGGAATCTTGGGTTTTCCGCCCTCCTCTACTTCAAGAGGCTTCAAGCCACATCTTAGGAGTGCACAGCAAACACCAGGCTCACGACTACTGCAGAGGGAGGATGGCACTTCTCACCTTTCCTTCTGAAACTGAGCGCACAGCAAGCAGTGCAAACCTTAGGAAGCTTGGAGCAGAGTGAACAACAAAGAATGAGATTTTCCACTGAGCAGGGGATAAAACTAGGTTCAGGACATGCTCCTCGGAATGCATACATATTTTTACAGCAGATTTGATTCTAGATTAAAGGAGATGGAAAGAAAAATGTCCAGGGAGCACAGGGTGTTCTGCACATAATACGGCACAAACTGTGCATGTGAAAGAGGCCTGGGCGCTCTAAGTCTGATGTTTCCTAGAAATACATGCAGATGGACTGCATTGGATAGTTGTAACAAGTTTATGGCAAGGAAAGGGATTTGGTACACAGCCTTCTCCTGCTAGAAGAAGATACGAGGCCAGTCTGGCCAACAACACTGGGCATCAAATCTTTGTATGAAGTAGCAAAGAGAAAGGCAATGTGAGCCGTATTCTTTTAGAAGACTATTTGCTAAGCAGGAAAGGAATGTTAAGAATCAGGAATCCAGCTTTCTATGCTTGTAGAAGAGGTAGGATAGTCTTTGGCTACACTTATACTGAGCAATTCAGAAATATATTTAATGTGCTAAAATGCATTGACACCTCCCCTCTGCCTTTAAAAATTAATTTTAGAAAGCAGTTCAAATTGCTAAGTTAATTCGTAAAATTCTCTGTGGACTTCTTTTAATCTTTCAGGTACTAGCTAATTTTAGCTAAACATAATGAGTAAAGGGTTTCTGATTAACACAGCTGAAAATTCGACTGTACCTTATTCTACTACGTGCTATTATGTTAGATGTCTAAAAGGTTTACCTGTATTATGCTAAGACGTCAATGACATCCCAGATGTTTGCAGATAAACAAGTGAACTCTCTCTCTCACAAACGGATTTGATCATTTCCTAGATGACTTTCTCTGTGGTGGCAGCCGTAGCACAAGCAAGGAGCTCCGTAACCATCTCCCTGTACCCCAAACCACAGAATCTCCTTCCCAGTACAACCCACTCCCTGCAGGGCAGTCCTCAAGTGACAAGTGACATAACTCTGGCACTTCGCTGGGGACAGTGGGCAGCATCAGCAGTCAGCAGAAGGAGCTCAGACTGGCTCCCCTCACCTCTTCCATCCCCACTGCTCCAGAGAGGCTGCGCAGGTGACAGCGTCCCAGCTCTGGGAAGCAGGAGGGGACAGCCAGACAGAGGCAAGGACGTGGCCACACAGGGCATTACAGAGATGGAAGACTCTTGTAAATGCCATGATACAACAGGCACCTAACTTTTTTCTTTCTTTACATTTGGTTTCATGGGGTATTATTTTACCATTCCTACACGCGGTCTACAGCCAACCATTCCTGTTTCTGATTAAAGGATTTAACATAGTTAAATAAACTGCAGTGATATGAATTATGCATTATTTAAATGCCGAACTTCCACATTACCGGTCTGCACCCTGCCGTTGCACAATCAGCATTTCTGTCCTGATGCAGTGGTGCTCTCTCGCAACGTCGCTTGGAAATCAGAGCACATCATATGAAATCTCTCACGCTGTATCAGCTCAGATTACGAAACAATCCTTGACTGAGGTATTTTAACAGCGTTCTCTGCAACTCTTAACCATATTTACTTTTAAGCCTGACATAATTTTAAATTCATAACTCGTTTCGTTCTTAACCCCAAACCTGCCTGGAATCTAACCAGGCAAACTTTACATAAACTCCAAATGGACTCCGAATATGTAGGACGAAAGACTTTCATAGAATCCTAGAATGGGTTGGGTTGGAAGGGTCCTTAAAGATCATCTGGTTCCAACCCCCCTGCCATGAGCAGGGACATCTTCCACCAGCCCAGGGTGCTCAGAGCTCCATCCAACCTGGCCTTGAACACTGCCAGGGAGGGGGCAGCCACAGCTTCTCTGGGCAACCTGTGCCAGTGTTTCACCACCCTCGTGGTGAAGAATTTCTTCCGAATATCTAATCTAAATCTGCCCTCTTTTAGTTTACAGCCATTCCCCCTTGTCCTATCACTACACACCCTTGTGAAAAGTCCCTCTCTGACAAGGATCTCCATCCTTGATACATTCTTTGTACTCTAAGAAAAGTAATTTTGCATCTTAACACTTTTAAGAAAATAAAAAACCCTCTTCCGTTACAACTTGATTGCGGGAACAGTGGGAAAAAAATAAAAAGACTAACCTGCATACACAAGCATGGTGATGAGCAGAGCAATCAAATGGACTTTGTACTTGGGATTAACACTTTCCACTCGCAGGACGCTCAGCTGGAAAACGACAGAAAAGAGCAGCTCTATGCAGAACGCCTGCATCTCTGTAGTCTGCATGGGGTTGCTGCAGCCCTGAGAGAGCGCTCCAGAATGCGGCTCTGCCATCTCCAGGCTCCAGATAAAGTCCATAAACACCCTGGCAAGCACCGCAGCCACGAACTGAGCGGCGATCTTCAGTCCACTCATCTTGACCGGCATCCCACCGCCCCAGGCTGCCTGCAAGGTGCCGCAGGGATTGCACATGCTGCCGGTCAGGGTCAAGCCGTGCAGGACGGTGAAGCCGTAGGTGAGCGTGAGGGCGGCGTGCGGCTTCGGCTCCGCGTTGCCCAGCAGGCAGAGCTCGTTGGTGCAGGCGCAAACCTGGAAGGTGCTAAACATCTCCAAAAGGAAAGCGGCATCCCACCGCCCCAGGCTGCCTGCAAGGTGCCGCAGGGATTGCACATGCTGCCGGTCAGGGTCAAGCCGTGCAGGACGGTGAAGCCGTAGGTGAGCGTGAGGGCGGCGTGCGGCTTCGGCTCCGCGTTGCCCAGCAGGCAGAGCTCGTTGGTGCAGGCGCAAACCTGGAAGGTGCTAAACATCTCCAAAAGGAAAGCGCCGAGGCGCTGGCGGGAGCGCAGCCGGCGGCGGGGCCATCTCCTGCACAGCCCCACCGCCGCC